TTCATTGGCAGACACGGCCTCGCTAGTTTGGTCAAACGGCGTTGCCGCCGTGACAACGACCACTTTCGGTCGATGCTGATCTCTACTCGGGCCTGCCGCAGACGAACACAGGTTCTTAGCCTCCTTGTTCGTGACAATAATCTACACGGCCTTGTCAAATAGTTCCGCCGTTGTCGTCAGGGTATCCTCGACGTGAGTCGAGGCATTGCTCAATGTCGGACATGACCTTGAGATAAAATAGTGGCGGATGGCTTTGAAGCCCATTTGAATGTTTGAGACGGATGTTAAGCGTTGGTACTCGACAATCCAGTCAGTACTCGGCAGTGTGCCTTGTTCGAAGACCATTAGCTTGTCCATTGCCTTGATCTCCGACGGCTCTACTTGGAACAGCTTATGCCATGCCGCCTTTAGATCATCCCAGCTGATATTGGTGTGCAACTCTGTAGCGACCACCCCGTACTTGGACAAGAGATTGTCCATCCATGCTGGACATGCGCATCCCGACCGGGAGTATAAGTACTCGTGGTGCTTGTATTCACTGACGAGATGGAGCTGCAACGTGAGTTCAAACTTGCGGAACCACAGAATTGGGTCCGTCTTCGTCGAGTCGCAGAAGATCTCTTGATCATCGAACTTTGGAGTTGACTCCTGCTGTCCCGAGCTTGGGTTGGTGGCTGCAGCACAGATGCGCTGCTCCAACTGTTGCGTCGCGGTGTGCTGTAACTGCACGCCGTCCTTGAGGGATCCGACGTCAATCTCCAAGGCCTCGAGGCGATCGGAGGTGTTGGAGGAGCTGGCAACGGGGGCGGCGATGGTTTGTTCCAGCTGCTGGAGGCGGCTATCTAACGCCCGTTTGTGCTGTTGAACCATGCCGTCGAGGCTGTGGATGCCTTCCTGCTGTGCAATGAACGTGGTTAGGAGGTCCGTGAGATGGGAGAGGAGTAGAGCGATCTTGTATTCACTCTTCTCCATCTTTCCATTCTCGGCCTCTGTCCGCCATTCTGCTGCCATTGTGAGCAAGGCTCTCTCTCTCCTGAATATCTTCTCGCGTTGTTGAATTCGTTCTTCATCGGCAGCCCTTGCTGCTGCCTCGTCTTGCTGGCGCTGCTGTTCGATTGCCAACAGACGTGCCTTCTCGGCGTCCTCTGCCTTCTTCTTCGCTGCGGTGGCTGCGTCATCCGCCCGTCTCTTGGTTTCGGTACTCCAGGCCAGCATCCGGGCCTGATAGGCCTCGTCCATTTCCCCGGACTTCTGGTCCATGACGGCTGTTTGTGAACGCAAACGCATAGACCAGGCCGGGGGTCTGCTGACGTGGTACTCCCTGCTGCTGACGTGGCACTGCTGTCGGCTGCCATGGCCTGCTGACGTGTTCTGCTGATGTGGTCCGCTGATGTGGCCTGCTGACGTGGTCTGCTGACGTGGTCTGCTGATGTGGCAACTCACCAATGCCGCCGCAGGGGGTACCCGAAGACAGGTAGAGAAGGTAAGGCGAGAGGGGGCAACAACATAGGCGGGGAGGGTGGGTGGGAAAAATCGCCCAGATAAGGAGCCACTAATCAAAAAGTAAAGTTTGAACTTTGCAAAAAACTTTCGAGAAAATAGAAATCCCGAGTTTTGCAAGTTCAGCAGGTCTCCGAATCTCCCTTGAAGTTCGAAATTACCAATGAGAAAAAATCTTGAACTTTCAGACTGCAACTGATTATAGAACTGTGACTAAAAGAATCTCGAAAATAAAATACAGCAAAATATTCGGAATTACTCAGATGCGCGGTTTGGAAAATGATAACTGCAGGAGGGATTCCTGTACCGTTTTCAAAAAAACGAATTTCGGAACAAGAATATTCCAAACCTCCAAATAATGGGAATCGCAAAAGGAAATCAAAATTTTTGAAAGAAAGATATTCCGGATTTTCAACAACGAAATTTCGAATTTTCAGAAGAAAAACGAAAATGGAAATTTCAGATGTTGCGCTATTGCGATTTTCCACAACAGAAATAGTGAGAAAACAAAATCCAAGAAAAAAAAAAAAAATTGATTTTCGGCAGTAAGGTCAAAATCGAGATTTTGGGGGCTAACTAGTGTGCTCTAATCAATCAATCAAGACTAATCAGCTACCTAGTCCCTGCACACGTGTCAGATCAGGTTGCGGTGCTCTGATACCAACTGTTACATGCCCAGTTGGGGGATGTACATAGAAACCAAGGATCCGCAATGTGATAAAAAAGGACTGAATGGACAATGCAGTGCAAGTAGAATCTCAACAAGCAATGTGCATTCCAATACATACAAAATGGTGCTTTATAGCGCAGTGGAAGACTTAGATACAAGTCCGGACCTGACCGGGACTGACCTCTATCACGTAGTGCCAGATAGCGTAGCAGAATGCTAGAATATCAATGACTAGCCCAATCAATGTTGCAACACAGACTAAACATACATCATGCTCATCACAAGGTGTGAAGAGACCTGGCGCTATACACAGGAAGAAGAGCGCCAGGCTCTGATCATGCACAGACGAAGAGGAAGGGAACAGACGAAGAAGAGGGGGAGAGATGGGAATGTCGTCAACACCAAGTCTTTGTCACAAGTCCCAAATAACCCCTCGTCAAAATGTCTGAAGCCCAAATGTCGAGTCTGGATCCAAAATGTCACCAAGCTCTCTCTTTCTCTCATAGTCTGCTGATGCAGTGAAGTCAGGTAGCGAGAGGGTGAGAGGGAGATGGTGGACTGAGAAGAGGAAGAAGAAGAACTCTCTCTCTCTCACGAGCCAGGTACTAACCTGTGAAGTTGGCGCTGTGCTGTAGGTACCTCGAAGACGAAGCTGGAGCAACGGCACTGCAGGTAAGTCCTCCTGGCCTCCGCCCAATCTCTCTCTCTCTATAGTACTACTCTAGCTATGGCGCCAAGCGCTGAAGACTACAGCTAACGCTACTAGTGCCCAGCGCTGAAGACTACTGCTAACGCTACTCCTGCAGCGCTCCTCCAGAGTGCTGCTGCCGAATTCTAAAGACTACTGCCTCGTGAAGTGCATGGGAAGGCCCTATGTACTACCTCGGCCTGCCTCCTGACTGCCTCCAACTGCCTGCAGTTGCAGGGCGGGCAGTCCAGGAGGCTGCTCTTGCCAATGCCGAACTGAGCCAGGGTCTGGCGCTGCAGCTGTCGTGGGAACAGGCCAAAAATAGCCTGTTCCTAAAACCCTGGTTTGGTGCCTGAGTTTCAGGGCAGGTCGGTCTGATGAAAGACCGAAAATGGCCCTTCGTTTCAGGCTAAAAAGGCTACTGCCATTTTTAGTCTGAAACGACACAGGATCTGTAGGCCCCTGTTTTTCAGGCTTTCGAGCTGAACAGACACGGGGCCTGTAGGCTGTGGTTTTCAGGCTTTCAGCCTGAGGGACGCAGGGCCTGGAAAATGGCCCTCGTGTGCAGGCGCAGCATGTAACAGTACAGGAACAAGAAAGTCAATGCGGGGTAGAAGGCGCTGGGAGGAATGAGGATACATTGTATAGCTGAAATAGGTTTAGGGAGCAAGGTACATAGAGACAGTAAGTGTCATGGGGGCAACCTTCTTTCCCTGAATATAACTTACGGTCATTATAGCTGTATGTAGAGTGAAAGCTACCCCAAATTCAGCTATAATCACCACATACGTTGTATTCGGTGGAAGACTGTAATGAAGAGGAAGGTACAGGGAGTATTGGCAAGGCAGCCCAAACAGGGCAGGAGTCAGAACAGATAGCATTGATAGCTGGACAAAGGTAGATTAAGTAGGAAGTGATGATATAATATAGTCTGTGGAGTTTGATAAGCGGCCCAAGGAACTGCAGGGGAGGCCCCTCGCTGCTCCCCGTCTCGCTGAGGGTCCCCCTGCTGCGTGTCTGGGTGCTGCTAGGAAGCCTTCCCACCAGCAGGGTGGCCCCCAGAGAAAGACCATGGTGTGGGGGGGGTGGGCCCCCTTTAGCAGGTCCCCTCTTGGTAGACGATCAATGCCACAGGGGTTGGACTGTTTCCCTTTTCTGATCTGATCTCCCCCCTTCTTTGGATGTACAAACATGCTTGCTGGTGAATCAGATAAGCAACCTGACTGTTGCCCCCCAGAAGAGAAGGGGCTTTGTTTGATTTAAAAAAAAAAAAAAAGAAAAAAAAAAGAAAAGAAAAAGACACCATACTTAAACTGGAGCTTAATCAGCAGGTGGGAAGCACAAGAACTTGTCAAGAAGTCATAATTGGATCTCTCTCCCAAGTATCCCAATTCATGCAGTGAATTTTCGTGCAGGAAAACACTTGAMAAAAAAAAAAAAAAAAAACCACAAACGGCATGAAAAAAAAAGAACAACAACACACAACCGAATGTTCGATGCCGATCGGCGCCCTGCCATCTACCACCGCCCTTTTCTCTCTTCCCCTGTTACTCGCCAAATCGTAACAGTTTGGTATGCCACCCAAGTCTGTGCACCCCCCACAAGGGCCCCAACCATCAACCGTCTGCGGCGATTGACAGCCCTACCTAGTCTAATTAGCCATATGAAATTGCCACACAGCTTGCCATCATCGACCGTCCCTCCGAGGGCAATATGCCTTAAGGGGTAGAATGCTTACAGCTGCATACGTTTTATTTTTATTATTATTATTATTATTATTATTATTATTATTATTATTATTATTATTATTGCATAGCCAGGGCCTTCCAGAAATTCTCAGCGGCCTTTCGGCCCCTGAGGGGGGGTGGAATGTAGTTTTCAACTTTTCAACCAGCAATAGACGCATCTCGGTTAGCCCTCATGGACTGCGTCATTGCCCCAAGCGCAAAGATAGCTGCATACGTTTTGTCTTTTTGCTTTCTTTTTTTTTTTTTTTTTTTTTTTTTTTTTT